AACACGCAGACCCTAAACAGCTTAGGGCTTAGTTTCTTAGAACAGAACAATGTCACATAATGAACATGAGTTGATAAATTATGGATGAAATAACAAACGAAATGCCTACATTGCCTAACTTCAGAAGCTACAGTCTTCTTATAGACAATACAACTATCAGGTGTCAATCAAAAAACATTTTTTAATAACTTAAGGAGACGGAAATGCTACGTGATAGGATTTGATCTTCACACATTGCCCCTAAATATGCACAAATAAAAATTTTTAGAAATAAGAAATTTTGTTGTCAGTTTTTTAAATATTTTATTTATTTGAAATGCAGAGTGACAGAGAGAGAGGGAGAAACAGAGATAGAGAGATCTTCCAACCATTGGTTCTCTCCCCAAACGACCACAACAGCCAGAACTGAACCAGGCCAACGGCAGGATCCAGGAACTTCATCTGGATCTCCCAAATGGGTGGCAGAGGCCTAAGTACCCAGACCATCTTCTGCTGCCTTCCCAGGCCCATTAGCTGGAGGTTGAATTAGAAGCAGAGCAGGTAGGATCCTGATAGGGGATGCCTGTGTCATAAGCAGAGGCTTAACTGGCTGTACCACAATGCTCTTAGTGCTCTTACTTAGTGCTCTTACTGTACTACTTAGTGCTCTTAGTATGATATAATGCCATGTAATGACATGGGCTGGTAAATTATTGACACATTTAAGGGAAGTCTTTCATTTTAAAACATTTAGATTGTAAATCTTAGAATTTTCTCAGTCAATGTGGTCCTCGTAGAGAAGCTGAGTCTGACCAATGCTGTCTGAAGCAGCAGCCCCATCAGTTTTGATCCCCTCATCCTGTTTTGTTTTCTTCATTGTCCTTATCCCTGTATATATCCCTATATATTGTGCTATATATCTATTTACTTATTTTATACCTCCTCACTAGTATAAAAGCTTTATTTTTACAAATCTCTATTTTCACTTTAATTGAAAGGCCGAGAGAGAGAGAGAGAGATTCCATTTGCTGGTTCACTCCCTACATTTCTGCAAAGCCAGGGCTGGGCCAGACTGAAGCCCGTAAGCCAGGAACTGTGTTCAGGTCTCCCATGTGGATGACAGGGACCCAAATGCTTCAATTGTCTTCTGTTGCCACACAGGTTGTACATTAGCAGGAAGCTGGACTGGGTGCAGAGTAGCCTGGACTTGGCCCAGGCATTCTGATATGGGATTGTGTCAACAACTGCTCCAAACTCCTATCCAGTATAAAAACTTTATGAAGACAGAGGCTTTATGTCTTTTGATCACCAATACATCTCCTGTGCATAGAACAGTGCTTGGGTTTATTTTAATTTCACAATTATTTAGTCAGTAAACTGAATGGCTTATTTCCATGTTTATGGTCCAATCAGACAAGGAGAGGTGGGCGTTGTGGCTTATGTTTGAGTTCCTTGGCACTGGCTGTCTATACAAAGCCTTGCAAACAGTGAATAAATTACCCTGATCTATGTGCCTGGAAGGAGAAACACAGACATGCTGCACTAAGGGTGTGCTATTAATACATTTTAAATTGATTTTTAAAAAATGTTCTGCCTGTTTTGGGGTAGGAGGAATAAACCAGTGGATGGAATATCCTTGTCTGTGTCTGTGTCTCTGTCTCTATCTCTATCTCTCTGCCTTTCAATTAAATAAATAAAAAATTTTGGAGTGGCACTGTGGTGCAGCAGGTTAAAACCCTGGCCTAAAGTGCCGGCATCCCACATGGGCGCTGGTTCTAGTCCCGGCTGCTCATCTTCCGATCTAGCTCCCTGCTTATGGCTTGGGAAAGCAGTAGTAGATGGCCCAGGTCCTTAGGCCCCTGCATCCACATGGGAGACCTGGAAGAAGCTCCTGGCTCCTGGCTTCAGATTGGCACAGCTCTGGTCATTGCGGTCAATTGGGGAGTGAACCAGCAGATGGAAGATATCTCTCTCTGTCTCTCTCTCTCTCTCTCTCTCTCTCTCTGCCTCTCTTTATCGCTGTGTAACTCTGACTTTCAAATAAATAAATAAATCTTTTAAAAAAATTTTTAAATGACTGTTCTTAGAAGTTTACCAGGAACAGATTTCACATTTTCATACCTTGGAAACTTTGAAGCCCCTAAGAATAAAAGACTACTTATTACAACTAGAACATATTCAACAATAAAATTCTAGCTAATCAGGATATTATATAAAGATTTATTTATTTGAAAGGCAGAGTTACAGAGGCAGAGGCAGAGACAGAGAAAAAGAAGTCTTCCATCCACTAGTTCACTCCCCACGTGGCTGCAATGGTGGGAGCTGGACCGATCCGAAGCCAGGAGCCAGGAGCTTCTTCCAGGTCTCCCATGTAGATGCAGTGGCCCAAGGACTTGAGCCATCTTATACTGCTTTCCCAGGCCACAGCAGAGAGCTGGATTGGAAGTGGAGCAGCCAACTCTGAAACTAGTGCCTGAAGTGCACTTCAGGCAGCAGCTTTACCTGCTATGCCACAGCGCTGGCCCCAGGAAATTATATTTGAAACTTGTTTATAGCATTTCACTTTGGAGCTTTCATTCACTCAATAAATGCTTTCTTTGATCACCTTCCATGCTCAAGGAAAATATAAAGTATTCATTCAAGGCACGCCATTAGATAAAACAACATTCTTTCCTGATTTCTTCCATTAGAATTAATAGCCACTTTGTCTGTGTTCCCAGCCTCTACTACCAGTCATTGTTTATTGCCTATCCTTGTAATAAATGACACAGTCATTCATACATGCTCAGTTCATGTATAGGCCATAAGCTCTTTGAGGTTGTGAGCCATGGCTTTGCCATTATTTTAACACTCCTTTTTATTTCCAGTATTTAGTACAATGTATTGTACACAGTAAATACTCAAAAATTTTGTTAAAATTATTTTTACTTATTCCATCTGAATAATTTCTAAAAAAATTCACCTACAGTACTTTATGTAACCCAGTATCCCATATAAACACAAAGTTTAACTACCAGAAAAGTCTTTGCAAAGGTAGATTGGATCATGTTATTTTTTTCTTAATATCACTTACATGATTTATTTTTCACATTATCATTTATTTAAAAAGTGAAGTGGTTTCTCCCCCCAAATATCAAGATGCTGGGTCGGAAAATACTCACTCAAATGTCTACAGTTACCAGGGAAATGGTATAATCCAGCTAGGCTGGGAAGATAACAATGAACTAGGGTCTACTGAATGGCAAGGCCTACGCCATCTTAAAGGGACAGCTGACCGCAGGCAATTATCACCATGCAGAAACCAAGGCTCACTGTGGTCACACTTTCCAAACTCCAAGAGAACTGTCTCTGTGTGTTTTAAATTTTTTTCATGTTTTCATTTTATTTGAAAGGCAGAGAGATAGAGACAGGGAGATATTCCATCTACTTGTTTAACTCCTCAAATGCTCTCAACAGCCAGGGTTGATCCAGCCTGAAGCCAGGAACCTGGAACTCAATCCAGGTCTTCCACGTGGGCAGCAGGGACCCAAGTACTTGAACCCTCACCCACTGCCTCCCAGTGTTGTGTGCATTATCAGGAAACTGAATCAGAAATGGAGCTGGAACTTGAACCAGATGCTGATATGGGATATGGGAGTTCCAAGCATTATCTTAAGCCACTATGAAATTAATTCAAGTAGAGGAATTATCAAAAGATAAAAGTACAAGTTACATTTAAAGATTTAATTGACTTTTATTTGGAGTTCTAGAATCTGGCAACATTTCATTCTGTAAAAACAGAGTGAATGCTCCACTGGGCAAGACAAAACAGTTCATTTTTATAACATGGGAACAAAGAGACAATTCAATAGACAAAAGCAGACTGGTTAAGTTCAGGCTGCTTTGGTTTACTTTTCTTGTAAACATTAAGCAAAAGAGAAATCATTATTTTACTAACTTAAGCTTTTCAATTGGTTGCTGTAAATTGTTTCAAGAAAATTTAGTCTAGAATCTATTTGCTTTTATGTTTCAGTTTGATTACATAGCACTTAGCATCAGTGACTCCATTTTAGTTTGGTTTGGTTTGCTCAGGCCTAGTGCAGGAACTCAGTCCAAAACAATGGCTCCCCAAAACAATGGGAAGAAAATATTTATGGATCAGACTCCATGCTCTATCCATATCAATATGCCAGTTTGGGCTGCTCAGCTTCCAATCTAGCTCCTTGCTAATGTGCCTGGGAAAGCAGCCCAGGTGTTGGGTCCTTGCAACCCATGTGGGAGGCCTGGATGGTGCTCATGACTTCGACTCAGCCAAGCTAAGGCTATTGTGGCCATTTGGGAAGTAAACCAGAAGATGGAAGATCTCTTTCTCTCTCTCTCTCACTCTGACTTTCAAATAAAATAAAATAGATCTTTAAACAAAAGAAAAATGAGGAGGAATAGAAAGAAAAGAGGCAAGCAGCCTCTTTTTAGCACAATACTCTCATAGAAGGAACCTATAGTTTAACACAATACTCACATAGGAGGCTCTAACAACAGGAACCTAATAACTTCTCCTTACATTGTTTTACTTCAGGTAGCTCTACCAGGAAATAGAAATTATCTTTGACAAACTTAAGTCACCTCCCATGCCCCAGTACTTCCCATTTGTCACTTGGGAGGGAACAAAATTGAATGACGAATCAGATGTTCTTATCAGTCAAGTCTACTAGAGCAATGGCTCTCAAACTTTTACCAAACATCAGAATCATTGTGGGACTTATTAAAACAGACTGTGAGGTCTCCCAGAATTTCTAATACAGAAGTTCTGGGGTAATGTCAAAGAATTCACAATGCTAATAAATTCCCAGAGGCCGATGACAACCACACTTTGAGTCACTCCACTGGAAGCTCCCAGAAAGTCTGCTTTATCATTGTGACTGTGTAATCCATGTTTAGAAAACCTAAGGACCACAAAAAATGGAATCGAAACACCTGCACACTAAAGCACGCCTCTAGGAACCCACAGATACTACTGCTTATACTGCAGACACTGACTTTACCTTGTTAGATGAAATTTAGAGGGGTCTGTCATTGCGGGGTGGCAGGTTAAGCTGTGATACTGGCTTCCCCTTTGGGTGCTCGTTCCAGTCCTGGGTGCTCCAATTCTGATCCAGCTCTCTGCTAATGCCTGAGAAAAAGGAAGAAGATGACCTAAATACTTGGCCTCTCCCTGTACCCCTGTTGGAGACCAGGATAAAGCTCCTGGCACTGGCTTTGGCGCAGCCCAGCTCTGGCTGTTGCCGCCATTTGGAGAGTGAACCAGAGGATGGATGACCTCTCTCTGTGTCTCCCCCTCTCTCGGTAACTCTGCCTTTCAAATAAATAAACAAATCTTTATGAAAAATGAAATTTATGGAAGGCCATTTGGGGTCTTAAGCCCTAGCAGACCAGATCAAACCAGAATGGAGTCACTTGTGCTAAGGGCCCTAATCAAACTGAACTCTGAAATGGACCAGTTTTCCCTACCCTCAAAATATGAAAAAATCCACAGCAAACTATCAGAAGGGGCCGAGTTACCCAATTGGGCCCGACAAGTTAAGTCCTTTATAAGGAAAGCAGCTGTGAAAACTGGAACTTCTGTTCTCACAAAACGCCAATAAGAAACCAATTTGGCCTTTAAACCGAATTCGTTGTCATGTTGCTCCCGAACAACTCTACTGTGCGAAGCTGTCTGCTCTTACCCTCTTCCCAGCACCATTTAAACATCCAATCAACCGGTTTAGCCAGCTTCTGGCCAGTCAGCGCTCCATACAAAAGGGACGCCCGGGGTAGAAAAATATTAGCAACCCAAATCTTTTATTTGCGTCTCCCTCACTCGCGTGGGAAAATGCCGCCGCCACGCACTTTTCAGGTGATGCCAAGGTAGAGCGTCATTTCTCTCCAGGTAGAGCATCATTTTGTAGGACTGTGCTCACAAATAACGTAACGTAAACCTGCTGAGTACAACCCTGAGCAACAGACGCCCGCGCCGGTTTCACAGCGAGCAAACTAATCCGCACACACGAACCTTGACGCTCCATCCTCCCGCGGTCGGGTTCCCGCCCTCTCTTTCGTCAGGGAGCACCGAGGGGGCGTGCCGGGGCGCGCGGCACTCACGTGACCACGCAGGGCCTGGCCCAGCCGAGTCGCGCGATCCGCCGTCATATCAGCTTATGCGGCCGGCCCCTGATTGGCCGGCCGCGCTGTCGCTCAGCGCCCGAGCTCCGGTCCGCTGCACCCGGCCGATCAGCTCAGTGACTGCTGCCGGCCCTGGTAGCCGCTGGAACGCCGGCGCCCGGAGCGGCTGCGGACCCTCTCCAGGTAGGGACGGGCGGCGGAAGCAGGGGCGAACACACCTGAGCGGGCCGCGGGGCGGAGGGGCCTAAAAGCAGGTGTAGGTAAGTCAGCCCTGCTGGACCAAGATGGACCTGGACCTTTGTCCACCTGGGTTCAGCCTCCTAGCTGCCAGGTACGGGCCGAAAACCAGCCGGACTCCTGCGCTGGCCCGGGGGAGAGGCTGGCGGGTATCGGGGCATCTTTAAAACAGACTGTGCTGGGACGAGCCGGGGCGCAGGGGACGTGCGGGGCCCGGGCTGGCTGAAGGGGGCGAGGCCAGAGGACACCTGGCATTTCGGGGCGGGAGAGGAGGCCCGGACCATAGAGAGACAGGCACGTGGACGGGGCTTGACCAGAATGCAGGGTTTGAGGTGGGCTTCTTATCCAAGGGAGGCCAGGCCGCCGAGCAGTAGTGTTTCCCTTTGCCACGAATTTCCCTCCGCTCTTTGGGAGGGGGGAGGTCTCCAAAGGGGCCCCCCGAATCGAGGAACCTGTGAGTGTCCGAAATTCTGACCGTTGCAGCGCAAGTCTAGGTTACCGCAGCGCACCAGGGGTGGACGGACACGCGTCCCCGGCCTGGGAAAACAGGAAGGGAGCAAACATCTCTTGTCAGCAGCACAGGAAAAGGAAGCATCCTACATAGCGGCGCCCCTGTGTCACAGCAGGTGCTGTAAGTGAGCTAGACATGACCTTGGTAGATCGAGTTTCCAGCCTGCAAAGTTTGTGGCAGCCCGGTGTGTTGGGCTGATCACCTGTCCTGATATCACCGTCATTGTTTAGCTTCTAATGATACGTACCTAGTAAATAATCAATGCGTGCCTACGATCATTTGCCGTGTGCTTTCCCAATTCGTGTAATGAGATTAGCCTGCGGTGGTACTCAGGATTCCCTGTGTGCACAGGTGACAGCTTGAGAAACTCATGTCGTAGTTAAAGGGCCACACTGGAGTGTGCATCACGGAGGTTACCATTACTGAGCAAGTTCTTCATGCATTCCTGACCTCAGGTTCCCTGTAGTAAAGTGGAGATTATAGCAGTATCTGCTTCATAGAGTTGGGAGAGTCTGGCAAAGTTATCCCAAAAAAGCACTTAAAATAATGCCTGGTTCTCAGTGAGTGTTAGCTATTATTATCCAAAAGTTAATAGTAGACTCAGTCATTCTAAGCCTTATAGTGTTTTTATTCATTGTGTTTTATGAAAGATTTTATTAAAAAAATTTTTATTGGGGCTGGCGCTGTGGCACAGTGGGTTAAAGCCCCGGGCTGCAGCTCTGGCATCCCATGTGGGTGCCAGTTCGAGTCCCGGCTGCTCCACTTCCCATCCAGCTCCCTGCTAATGCACCTAGGAAAGCAGAAGATGGCCTAAGTCCTTGGGCCCCTGCACCCATGTGGGAGACCCAGATGAAGCTCCTGGCTCCTGGCTTCAGATGGGCTCAGCTTTGGTCGTTGTGGCCATTTGGGGAGTGAACTAGCAGATGAAAAACCTCTCTCTGTCTCTACCTCTTTCTGTAACTGTCTTTCAAATAATTCTTTTAAATTTATTAAGAGGTTAATTGGGCAGGCGCTGTGGCTTAGCAGGTGAAGCCGCTGCCTGCAGTGCCGGCATCTGATACGGGCACCAGTTCCAGTTCCAGTCCTGGCTGCTCCACTCTCGATCCAGCTCTCTGCTATGGCCTGGGAAAGCAGAAGACGGCCCAAGTTCTTGGGCCCCTGCACCCACGTGGGAGACCCAGAGGAAACTCCTGGCCTCAGATCAGTGCAACTCTGGCCATTGCAGCCAACTGGGGAGTGAACCAGCAGATGGAAGACCTCTCTCTCTCTGCCTCTCCTCAAAGGTGTAACTCTGACTTTCAAAAGAGAGAGAGAGAGAGAGAGATTAATTTGAAAGGCAGAGTTGAGAGAGATATCTTCCATCCATTGATTCACTCCTCAATCGGCTGCAATGGCTGAAGCTGCTTCCGTACAGAGCCAGGAGCCCAGAGCTTCATCCGGATCTCCCACATGGGTGCAGGTGCCCAAGGACTTGGGCCATCTTCTGCTGCTTTCTCAGGCACATTGGCAAGGAACTGGATGAGAAGTGGAGCAGCAGGGACTCGAACTAGTGCTCATATGGGATGCTGGCATCACAGGTCTACCCACTATGCCACAATGCCTGCCCCGGGTTTCCTTTATTTCTTTAAAAGTAAAATAATATTTTATAAGCTTCTGTGTTAGACAGTGATACTTAGGGTCTGTGGACCCCTGACTTCAGGGGGAGAAAACTTATCAAAGGTATATGCAAAATTATGTGAGCTGGTAGAGTCGATAAGAATTCAAAGAATTAAGGAGCTGAAGAGTAGAGCTAGTGATTGTGAGGCCGAAGGTCCCCGGGAGAGTTCACGGACTTTGCAACCCGAGTACCTGTGCTCAGTCCTGTCTCCAGCATTTGTTGACTCTCTAACTCTGAGCAAGAATTTTCTGTATCCGCTTTCTTCATCTATAAAATCCAAATAACACTTGTACCTAACTCTTGTGGTGTCTTGAAAAGGTTAAATGAGTTCATATGTGTAACGTATTTATAGCAGCTAGCATTTAGCAGATCATAATATTATCCACTATCAATTTATTTTGAAGAAAAATCAAATAGCTCCTGTTTCTGCTTTATGTTGAAGTAGTCAGGACGATTCAGGTTTGGCTGCCGTGACAGTAGTTCATAACTCCTGTTTGTTGAGTGCATCCTATTTGTCTGCTTGCGTCAAAAGACTGCTTAGTCTCTAAGCCTGATGAGTCTGTAACATAGGCGTGTTATCTCCAAGTCACGGAGCTGGGTTAACTTTAGAGTGTACTTGCAGTTGTGAGATCTTCCTGATTCTAGAAGATTTCATGTGTTAGACGCCAAAAATTACAGCAGTATGAGAAGCATGCTTCGAAAGTTCATGGAAAGTGTAATTAAAAGGTTTTGGTACAAAAAAAATTTTTGAAATCCTTTTTCATAATACACATTTTCCATAAACTTTTTGAAACCTCATGTACACATGGATTCCAAACACTTTTGCTGCCATTTAAATTTTTAAAAATTCTGTTTTGTAGTGCCGAATATGTTCATGAATACCTAATACCACATTCAACCAAAAGCGTTAATTGAAACCAAACTTCTGTTTTTTAATTATTATTTTTTTAATTCATTTGACAGATAAACAGTGAGAGAGACAAAGAGAAAGGTCTTCCTTCCGTTGGTTCACCCCCCAAATGGCTGCTATGGCCGGAGCTATGCCGATCCAAAGCCAGGAGCCAGGTGCTTCCTCCTGGTCTCCCATGGGTTCAGGGCCCTCGCACTTGGGCCATCCTCCACTGCACTCCTGGGCCACAACAGAGAGCTGGACTGGAAGAGGAGCAACCGGGACTAGAACCCGGCCCCCGTATGGATGCCAGTGCCACAGGCGGAGGATTAACCAAGTGAGCCACGGCACCGGCCCCCAAAACCAAACTAATAAAAGTTCTGAGAACAGGTTTAATTTGTCTGTATCTAAACTGCCTGTAGACTGGCTGAGGTCCACTTCCTCCTGCCTTCCAGGCATGGGTTTACTGTTAGAACAATAATATGCAGGGAGCATGAACATAACACAGGTAGTGTGGTTTTCAGACAAAAGCAACATTAGAGAGCTTTTCAAAGTTAAGAACTGAGATCTTATTAAGGTTTTTACTTACGTCTGATATTAAGGATTGAGTGAAGATGATTTGTAGTACATGTTTGAGTTCTTGTTGCCTATACCATACTGTTCCAGGTACCACATTGAATAAGGGTCTTGGGCATTATGGGTAACATGTAGGTTAGTCCATCAACTCTGACCAACCTTTAGCAGTGTAGCGATGACCTTTTCCCTGATTAAATGTTTGTGTTCATGGGTTTTACTTAGTGTGTTTCCCCTGCTACACTGTTGCTTGACAGTCTTCACCATTCATGACTTCGACTACTGCCTCTACATTGGGCTCGCTTTTCAATTTCAGATTCCTATCAACATGTGGCTACAGCTTCTAACTAGGAGTCTAGATGAGCCACGAGAGATCAGGTTCAGACCCACACTGAACCTGTCATTCCCTAGCCACCCTGTATTCCTGCGTTTCCCAAATCTGCTAGCTCTCTCCGTATTTATTATTCCAGTTATACTGACGTCACCAGCTACTCAAGCAAGGTGAAATCTCACAGTCATCCCAGATATCTCCCCCTTCATATTCCAGGATCTGGGAGTTATCAAAGTCCTGTGGGTTATTTCTACCTGCTAAATCTTCAGTGAGTATGGCTGTTGTCACAGCCACTACCTGAGGTCCAGCACCAGAGTGACCACACTAGTCTCCCTGTTCCTCATCAGTACTTCATCTTCCCAATGGAATGATATTTATGAAACACGAATCTGATAATACCCCCTTCCTGCTCAGAAGCCTCTTATGGGAGAGAAGTTTGAAGTCCTTAGGAAGGCAGCAGATCACTTGAGAGTCTAACACGGCTTTCCTTTTGCCAGGTTTGTCCCCTAACGTTCTTTCCCCTGTCCTTCACCCCATCACACTGGCACCCCCCAACCATCCCCAGTGAGGAATGAGTATGCAATGCTCTCATCTACTTGAAATGGCTGTCCCTAACACTTTTCTCTGACACTGTCCTCTGACAATGTCTTATCTGTTACGAAGCCTTTTACAGTAAGAGTAGCTGTGTTATCTTTCTGACTCCATAGGATTTAGGTATACACCTTTATTACAGCACTCTTCATGTTTCTCCAGTTTTTTTTTTTTTAACTTTAGAAACAATTTAGACAGGATCTTTTTCATTTCCCAAGCTCATTACCTAGTATAGTGTTTGCCTCTTAATAAATTGCCATTTGGATGAATCGACAATGGTATATATGATGGAAGCTATCTAGCAATATCTGGCTTTGGACATTAATCAAATTTTTATTTCCCTAACAAAGTGAGAAAAATGTTTGTAATTCATGAGGAAAGCATATCATAAAGC